TATGATGCTGCTTAGCCTGCTGTGTTCATCCAGCTCTGCACCTTGTTGAAGTGGATGATCAACCTTGGTCAGATTGAATAGCAGAGCACGCTTGATGAGCTATAAGGCTTCCTTCCTTGGTTCATAAGTGTCACAATACTTGTAATAGCTTGCATCCAGCAATCGACAGGCCACATACGAGGAATAGAAATATAAGTGTCAATAGAAGAGATTTCGTGTAGGCGGTGTCTCACAAGGGGGTTTTCAGGCTGTGGAACATGCTGGCGGTTGCAGAAATCACGCAAACATTTCCGTTTGGGTTAGATCGGTCGTCAGAGGGATGAAGGGACTGTAGGGCAGCCCATGGGCTAACAAATACTGACAGACTAGCTGCCTAGGCATCCAGACAGCACAAATCTCCAAAATGTAAATTCTTTATCTGGTGGTCACACTTTCCTGCCTGTGACAGCGCGCTCCTGTCTGCCACAACATTGCTGCCAGAAATTTATTGCAAGTGTTGTATGCAGGACGAGTGCTGTGTGAAAAATGTTGCATTTTATCTTGAAGTAATATGTAATGAAGCTATTGTACTGAGGGGACAGAAAAGAGCAAAGTGCAGTCCATTAAACTGGTGTGTAGGTCTTTTAACAGATCATGCCTCCACCTTCAAATCGCAAAGCACCAGACAGTGCTTAGTCGGAACCCCCCTATTCAATCCCAATTGACCCCTCCTAGTGCTTGAACCTTCTTAACCTGGATTGGGGGGTTGGGGGATGCGTGGTGGGGAAATGTGGAACTTTGTCCCACAGGGAGTCAAATATCGGAGATGCCTGAAGGAGGGAGCTGGATAAACACACGAAGGAGAAAGAAATGGGAGGGTATGGTGGTGCGGCAAGATCAAGTGAAGGAGTTGCAGACGTGCAGGTAGGGAGTAGAGGGGTCGAACTGCCTGTGTTGAGCATCTTTTCTCTCCCTTGTGTGCTCTTTAGACACTGTGTAAAATTAAAAACCCCCATTTGGTATTTTAGATTTTCAGATAATTTACTATTTCGCTTTAATTGCTATTTTTGAAAGGAAACCTTCTAAAGAAAAAAGAAAGTGCAACATAACCTTTTGGAGTTAAGGTGAAATGATTCACCCTGGATGAGTGGTTTGTGAGTCTGCCATTATTTTGTTGCAATCAACCTGCTTGGACATTTTAGAACTCTCCTCCAGGGCAGGTGAGACTTGAACCAGGACCTTCTAGCTTGTACCCACCGCAAGAGTCCTTAAAACTTAAGGCTCCAGTTTAATAGTCCTTACTATGCCACCATCACACGGCTGGTGAGGTCTTGCAGGGTGACCTGAGGGGCCATGTGCATCAAGGTAGCAGGTGAGGCATGTGTTAATTGAGGGTAATTTGGTGAGGACATGACCGGGTATGTCTGTGCAGTGGCACTGTCCCTGCGTCTGGGCTAGGAGGCCTGGGTTTAAGTTCTACCTGTCCCAGAGGTGTGTCATGACAAGTCTGAACATGTTGATCAGAAAGTATCTACAAGGGGAAATAAAACCGTCAGTGGTG